CGGCCCCCGGTATTTTTTGTTGCAAAGCGGTGTACTACTTGGCAAACTGTAGCAATGAGTTGCCAGGGCTGACTTACCGCTTCAAAACAACATTGAACCCCTCACTCGCTGTGTAGTCTGCAGAAATGGGAAGAAGCATTGCATGAAGTAGGCCGGCACCCAGTACATTCGCTTTTCCCACAAGCTAGCAAGCGTCTCGTGGTCTTGGACTTGATATGTTTCAATCATAGCCATCCAGCTCGTTGCAAACTCCTCCACCGTCAAGCTGTGGTCCACGCACAGCTCGAATGCCTTGTGCAGCTTTAGATGGTCAGCAAAGAACGGTCCTAGTGTCTCCTCAGCCTTCTTTATAATGTGCCACCTACAGTGCCTGTGCACTGCCAACGGAAAGACCTCATCTATGCATGCACGCATGCTAAAATCATGGTCTGTTATTATGTTCATCGGAGCAAGTCCACCCATGCACTCTAAGAAGGTCTTGAACATCCAATGTACCCATTCGTGTCTTCATTCCGAACGAGCCTGCATCCGAACTGCAATGATTGATTGTGGTTATTTATTCCTATGAATGGAGCGCATGGCATCTTGTACATATTAGTGAGATATGTCGCGTCGAATGAAATGCAGTCTCGGAAATGTTTGTAGGCTCTTCTTGCAGCACCATCCACCCAATACATGTTCCTGACACGGTCCTCATCGTCCAATCTTATCCTGTAGAAGAAATCTGGATCTTCTTTCACGTTCTCATCGAAGTAGGCTATCGTGGCTTCTATGTCAGCCAACTTGCTTTCTCTATGGCACTTTTCCTTTAGGTTTGTGACGTCTGCCAGTATGTAGGGCATGCTACTCAGAGTCCCATTTTTGCCGTGGATGAGGGAGAGTATCTGGACTATTCTTGATGGACCGACGTTACAATCATGTAGCAGCTTTATGAATTTCTTCTCAAGGGGGGTGAATACCCTGTCGACGGTCAGAAATTTTACCAGGTCAAACTTCTTTATTAGCTCGTGGTTGTGCTCATAAAAATATTCACTGACCACCCACTGTGCTCCATCTACGTTTAGCTTACATCGGACAGGACATTTCATCTTGACAATGACACCTCTCTTTCGTTCCGGAACGACAGGCGCATCACCTTTGCCCTTCTTGTTTCTTCATGCCTTGTAGCACCTGATCTCACCTCTGCTGTACTCATTAGTTTTTTTAATTTTCCTGTGGTATTCGGTGTTGACCGCAAACCCATGGAACTTTGCATATGTCTGGTAGAATTCCTTTGCATCTTCAAACAAATCAAATCTCTGCCCAAGATATGGTGCCTGAGGTACTATGATTTCTGATTGCCCACCATCTTCATCCCCTTGTGCTTCGTCATCGGTTTCATCATTCACTTCAGTATCGGCGGCTGTTTCATCTGCTTGAGTGTTGCTTGTGCTGGTCTGCAAAGGTGTGCTTGTCGGCATTGCTGGAACAATTGCCATTTCCAACACTGACTCGACATTGTTTGTGGCATGAGTGTTGGCTGGCTGGTGGAACGCGTCTTCCATGCGCTCAGAGCTCCCCGCGGTAGATGTCCTCGCGCCGCTGTTAATTGTAGTTGAAGGTCCTTCAATAAAAAATCAGGTACGAGCATAAGATTTTGTTTGAATGGCATGTTTATCGTAACGGAGTACATCAACTGCATGTGATTTTGCATGACATTAGTCACACGGCAAGCCGTGAATCTACATATGGTCATGCATGGCAACTGTAATTCTCCAGTAATGGTAGATGCAGTCCAGCAACATGGCAACTACTGTTGCCAAAACATGGCAACCAGCGTCTTTTAGCATCAGAACTTGTAGTATATAGCAATGGCAGCTACAGTCCAACATACATGGCAACTACTGTTGCCAACACATGGCAACCCGTATATTCTAGCATCAAAACTTGTATTCTAGGCCTGAGCTCAGTACGCAAATGTGAACAATCATGAATGTTGCACCCACTCTTATAGCAATTGGCAAATCCCGAAGACAATATATGACTCTTTTTGCACAAGACCACTTGGTAGCATTTTTTGTTTCTTTTTTCCACCACCACCGTTACAAATCTACTTTTCCTCACATGCTATTTCCACAAAAGCAAATGCAGTACTGCTTTTTGGTTCACATTATTTTTTACCTTGTTGTGCCGCATGTGCCGATCTTGTGTGGTCTGTCATTCCAAATTGATGTGCTCTATCTACAATAGCGCTTTCCTGCAACTGTGAAGCTTGCCATGAGACATTTACCAATGTGGTTCCACCGTAACAACCTGCGATCATGGTAGCAGTTGGTCATTGCATGGCAACTGTAGTTTGTTCAACATGGCACATGTAGTGGTCCAACCATGCCACACAGATTTGTTCACACTTTGTCATCCACGATTGTTTATACATTACAGTCACATTTGATTATACATGGCAACTACAGTTGTCCAGGCATGGCAACTGCAGTTGTGCAACCATGGCAACTGCAGCTGTCTAGGCATGGCAACTGCATCTGTCAGATATGTTCCTTTCTCCTAACTCACTGTCCACAACTTCACTTGCATGCACTCACCCGTGTACGGCGTTGATGGCAGGTACATGGTTGCGCCTGATGCCACGTGCTGCATGAAGGTCCTAAATTTTTCCGACATAACTCGTGAGTCTTTTGCCATCCTTGCAAGTTTAATTTCATGTCCACAACAGTAAGTTTCTTTTTCGTATGGGTTACTTTGATGTGCCCGCGTTACTTTGATGTGCCACATTAGCTAAATGAAGTTGGTTGCCCGTACATTTGTCAGCGTTAGCGCCCTGTGACGAAACTTGCCATGCTGCCCCCCTGATTGTGGTTTGGTCATAAGAACCTGCTAAAAATTAGTTTGTAGGACATAAGTAGAATGACATCTTCATTGTCATGAACATGGCAACTGTTTCTTCTTTGTTTGTCATGCATCGTACCGATGCCCGCGTAGTGCTCTAGTAGTGGCAGCAATGGCCCTGAAAAAATGAGTTGATTGTACTCTACTGCAACCCAAGGTGGCGTTTCCGGCCTTTGAGAAAGCCAAGGATCAGTGCCATCTTCGTGATTCATTCTTCTGCTTTCTTTTCTGCCACTGTGTTTTTAGTCACTGCATGAATAAGAACGCATTAACAATTCGCAAAAAGCATTCTTATTGTTTGCACGTAGAAGATAACATGGCAATCTCATAACATTTCTTGCGTATGCAACCAACACCTCATGGCAAGTAGGACATGCACACCCATTCTCTTTTCCGAATTCTGGATGCCAGCTATCATTTTGAAGCGATGGCAACAGACAACAAAATAGGATGGCAAGCAATAAGATAACGTGGTGGCAACTACGAACAACGATAGATGGCAATTGACGTTGGATACAAGTGGCAATTATTTTTCCTCCCTCCCTATGCCAAATTCTTCCTTTCTCTCCCTATTTATAGTGATTCCTACGCATGCTCTATTACCAACTACTCGCACCAAGACAACCCAGAAGCTTGGCACAACTCTAGCATAGTATATGGCAGATCTGGCATATGTTTGGTGGGCAAATGCAAGGACACACAAATTCGTGGGGTGTTTTGCCCTGATAGCGTTGATCCAGTCGCCATCTTCGTAGGCAAATTTGCAATTTCATATTTCGTGGCAGAAGAAGGTCGAGAAACAGAAGGAGATCGCAGATCCACCTATTTTAGCTCGTCGTCTTGGGACGGCGGGTTTGGGGTGGGAGGGGGGTGGTGGTTAGCGATGGGAAGGCGCTACAGATCCTCACTGGTTGCCATGGCAACCAGAGAAGGAAGACGACGGAGGTAGGGGATCGAGAGGTGCGGATATGGTCGTTGATATAGTTTGCCGATCGTGGATCTGGTCGCTTCGGGTTTTTCTTTTACTCGCCTACACATAGCTTTGGTCTTATATGACTTTGCTATCTGGTGTGTTTTTTGGTGTGCGTGTGTTGGTATTGGCTGTGTGCATCCTATCTATGCAGAGGCCGGGTGTGTGCTCTTTGGGTTTGTATCCTCTTGATGCTCCTCTTTGAGCTAATAAAATCCACCCTTTATCGAAAAAAGGGGATCGAGAGGTGGGAGACAATGGCGGCATGGCGGACTAGGGATCGGAAAGAGCCTGAGACGGCTGGCGTGCTGGGTCGTGCGGGCAGCGCGGTCGTCTGGCCCGGACGTGTGGGCCGTTTTGCCACACACCGAACATGCGAGCTGTGGTTGTGCGCGCCCGGACGCGGTTGTGCGGGCGGGTTCTTCTCCATGCCACACGAGGCGTGCGGCACAACCACCCGATACACCACACGTGTGGCAGTTATCGGCGTCCTAAATTTTCTTTTTTAGGAAAAGCCATCATGACACATTTTATTACTTTAAAAAATGTTTACATCCTTCAACAAGAACTGCAGAACAAAGCTAGAGGCATCATCATGCCAAATACAGGTTTATGAGTTTGATTTGATGCACCTGTTGTCACAGATCGCATGTACATTCAATTCCTTGGAAGCGTGCTTTTCACT